TTGCTGGATCCCTGGATTATTGTTTTACTGGTTTGCTGGAATGCTGGATCTTTTGATGAAGAAGATTGAACTTGCCCCTAGGTACCCAACAACCCTAATCAGCAGGAAGCAGTCTAAAGATTTCTAGTTCCCTTTTCCCTCTAACCTTCTTTCTCACTTGCCTAGAGTTGGCAGTTTGGAAGGGATTGGATTGGAGGAAGGGTGGTAGACTAAGTACTCAATAAAATAGCTAAAAAATTATGCCTATACACACACACATCATAATGCTAAACAAAGGGAATAAACGCATTACCACCAAGACTGTGATCAATACAGTGGTGTCTACCTTTACTTCTATTCAGTGTAGATCTTGAAGTCTCAGCTAAAAACCTAAGACAAAGAAAGAAAAAAGAGAAAGGAATTTGAAATACCTTTATTTGGAAATAATATTATGAAGAAAAGCTCCTAAAGGCTCTCACAGAAAACTACTAGAATTAATAAACTCTTTCTACAAAGAAGCAGAAGAAAAATTTTACATAAGCAGTTTTCCTATATAGCACTGAAAAACAAAATCAGTCGCAATAATCTCAAAACAGAAAAACTAGACTAACACCTCCTGATTAACCTCACCATGGACTTAAACATCCTCAATGAAATAATTAAAATCTGGAAAAGTGAATAATGTACTAAAATATGGAAAGGGTCCCCATGCTCATGGAATGGTAAGTTTATTAGTGTGAAAATGGACGTGCAATACCAATTAAACGTCTGCAAATATCCAAAGCAATTCTAGTCAAACAGGATTGGCAATCTGGGCAAATACTACTGGAGGAATCACCTACCTGATTTTAAGTCATAATACAGAGTAATAGTAATAAAAGCAACGTGGTACAAGCACAAAAGCAGACATATAGATTAATATAACATACAGTTCCAAGATGTAAGTTTATATAATACAGCCACCTGAGTTTTACAAATATCTCAAAATATTCATTGAAGACAACATCTTGAACAAATGGCCCAGGTCAAACAAGATCTACATATAAAAGAATTAAGTTTATTATCTTTTGGTGCATTCATATGCTAAATTACATTTATTAATTTACATATGTTGAAGGAACTTTGCCTTTCTGTAATGAAGCTAACTTAATTATTATATTTTTGTTTGCATTCATTAATTCAGTTTGTTAGTATTTATTAAGAATATTTTCTTGATTGGGCGGCGTGATCTCGCCGCGCGGCCACCGCCGCCGCCGCAGGCAGAGCGCAGCGGGCGGGCCGGGCAAGGGGCCACGGCGGGCGCCGAGGACGCGCCGGGCCAGCAGCCGAGCTGGACGAGGAGGAGACGGCGGAAGGCCGGCGCTGGAGCGCGCTGCACGCCGGAGCCCAGGAGCTGGTGGCGCTTTACTCGCCAGGCAAGCGCCTCCAGGAGTGGTATTCCGTGATCCTGTGCTTCAGCCTCATCGCCCATAACTTGGTCCACCTCCTGCTGCTGGCCCGATGGGAGCACACGCCCCTCGTCATCCTGGGCTCTTGTTGCTGGGGCTCTTGTTGCTGACTTCCTGTCTGGCCTGGTCCACTGGGGTGCCGATACATGGGGCTCTGTGGATCTACCCGTTGTGGGAAAGGCCTTCATCCGGCCATTCCGGGAACATCACATCGACCCCACAGCCATCACGAGGCACGACTTCATCGAGACCAATGGTGACAACTGTCTGGTGACGCTGCTGCCGCTGCTGAACATGGCCTACAAATTCCAAATCCAAAGCCCAGACACCCTGGAGCAACTGTACCCCTGGGAATGCTTCATCTTCTGCCTGATCATCTTTGAAACCTTCACCAACCAGATCCACAAGTGGTCACACACGTACTTGGGGCTACCATGCTGGGTCACTGTCCTGCAGGACTGGCACGTGATCCTGCCACGGAAACACCATCGCATCCACCATGTGGCACCCCATGAGACATACTTCTGTATCACCACAGGCTGGCTTAACTACCCCCTGGAGGTGATAGGCTTCTGGCGACGCCTGGAGGACCTCATGCAGGGCCTGACGGGCGAGAAAGCCCAGAGTGGACGACATGAAGTGGGCCCAGAAGATCAAGTAGTGTGTCTCGCCTCCTGGTCGCCAGCCTTCCCCAGCCTGAACCGAAGCCATCTGCCAAATCCCTGAGACCCCCTCCAATGACGAGAAGTCCCCTGGGCTGGGCCGTAGCCCATCCGCAGTGACACAGAATACTTGAGCCACCGAGTTTTTATTTCCTCTTTTCTTTTTCTTTCCTTGGGCCGTTCTGGCCACTGAACTGCTCTGAGGCCAAGCCTGACTGCAGAGGGGGCGCCCAGTCCTGCTGGCCAGCCCCAGCCTGTGCACTTGCCCTGCCCTGCACGCCTGCTCCCTGGACACCACAGGGCTCACCGACTCACTTGGTCTGTCCTCAGTGACCCAGGGAGCCCCAGAACACTTCAATGTCCCTGTATCATGATTCTCCCTCAGCCCTGCAAACCGACCCCAGAGGCCTAGGTGAGTGGACCATCCCGGCCGCCACCCAAGGGAGGCAGAGCCAGGCAAGGGGCAAAGGGCAGCTGGCAGGGAGAGGCCAGAATAGCCTGTCCACACTTGGATACTCCTTTTCCCTTCCCCCACTTTTGTGCACACATCCAGCCACATCTGAGGTCTTCAGTATGAAGATGTCTTCATAGAGCACAGCTCTTGTTGAAGAGCTTGGTCATTTGGGGAGGGGACACTGTGTCCCTTCTGGCCAGTGTGTCAGAGGAAGGGAGAATAAGGCTTTTTTATTTAGTTTTTTTTTTTTTAAGGTGCTTGCTTGTCAATGTAAATAATAGAAAGCCTTAATATCTTTCTGTAACGGAGTAATATTTTAATGTCATGTTTTGGATGTATATAATATATTTATAACAAAGAAAGAGTCTCCTTAACCCTGACTGCCTCATGGTTCCAGATGGCTGTATAGAAGGGGTTAGCCCTGGCCTGAGGGACTCTGTCCCCTGACATGAGTGGCATAGTTTAGATTTATGTATTTTATGTTGTGCATATGAGTGCATGTGTGTGTGTGTGTGTGTGTGTGTGTGTGTATGTGTGTGTGTGTGTACACCACATGTGTGCCTGATGCCCACAGGTGTCACAGAAGGGCATTTCATTCCTGGATCTTAAGTTACTGGTAGTTATGAAACACTTTGATGTTGGGAACTAAACCAGGGCCTCTTACATGCCATTTCTCCAGCCCTGGATTTTTGTTTTTTGAGGCAGAGTGTCATCTACTCAAAGCGACCTCACTTCTTTGTAGGCTTAGATTTTTTTTACCAAACCTATTTTGTTTAGGGTTCTTAAACACCTTTACCTCCCTTCCAGCTCCCCGACCTAGTTAGGAGATTAGTAGAGGAAAGGGTTATAGACCTCTTATCAACTTCCTGCCATTAGGCTCCATGATTTAGGGGACTGCCATACTCAGTCTGCCATACTCATACTGGTGGCAAGTGCTGCCACCAGACCAGTCCAAAGGCCAACTCCGAGCAGCAACATGAAGTCAGCAAAAGCCCCAAGACTCAGTTGGAATTGCCCCAAGAAGTTCTCTGAAATGTTCCTCTCTTCGAAGTCAAGTGTGGAAGCATGAAGACAAGCGCAGTGATGCCAATCCAAAAGTCAACATCTCGGTCCCCAGGGTCCACCCACAGATGTTCTCAGCTGTGGTCATGCAAAGGTCACGGCAAAACATCACATGCCCTCTCACAAGCTAACCTCCAGCAAAACATCACATCACAAAACAGTCTTCAAGGAAACCAGAAACTTCCCCTTCATTTTTTTTGGTATCTTGAGACAGGCTTTCTCTGTGGATCAAGCTCTGGCTGCCCTGGAACTCACTTTGTAGACCAGCCTGACCTGTGATCTCTGAACTCACAGAGATCCACTTGCCTCTGTGGGATTAAAGGTGTGCCCTACCACACTCATCGACCTCACACTTCTATGACCAACGCTGGCCTTGAATTCCTGATCCTTTTGCTGCACTCTCATCTCACAAGCGCTGGGATTACACGTGTGTGCCACCATCCACAGGGCATTTCACCTAGATCATGATGGAGCAGTGTGTTGCCTGTCCCAGAATGCCTTTAGGGGTCATAGGCACCTGATATGTGTCATGGCTATGGCCTGGACCTAGACCAACAAGGACCAGACCTCTGGACTGACTGGTGGGAGCTGACCTAGGAAAAGAGACAATAAATACAAGGAAACATTAAAAAAAAAGAATATTTTCTTCTAGGTACATAAAGGAATATTGTTCTATAATTTTTGTTGGGTCTTTGTGTGATTTTGATATCAGGGTAGTGATGGCTTTATAAAAAGAATTTAAAAATGTTTTGTAAGTTTTTTTTATTTTGCAGAATAATTTAAGGAGTATTGGCATAAATTCTTTGTCCATCGTGCCATGTGGTTTTTGTTTGTTTGTTTGATTAAGGAATTGGCAGCTACTGATTTTATATCATTATATGTTGTTGGTCTGTTTGGCAGAACATGGTAGCATGTCCTAAAGAAATGTCTTAAAGATCTCCTTCACTCCAGACATAATCTTTATCTCCATTGTGGAGAAGCAATTTAATTTCCTCAAGGTAATCTGGATCAACCACACCTCCCAACACTGTTATTCCTTTCTTTTGGCTTAAGAAAATCACTTGGGGGGGGGATCTGAGTTTCCAGTACAATGGAATATTTGGTGTGGCTCCTGGCAGGAGCACTTCCCCGTGGGAACCCAAACATCTAGGACAGTAGATGGTCATGGAATCAGAAAGCATAAGTTTTCCTAGAGGGCCACTACTGGTGATAGAGAATGGAATTATTCCCTTATACAACGCTTGGACCCTCTTGGGCACTGACTATGGGAGAAAATGTACCACCTATTAGACACTGATTCAACACATTTACTGCCTTCTGAATAACCAGCCACAGTCATTCAAGTTGCTGCCGCATAATTTGCACTGTAACTGTGTCTTTAAAAGGTCAATCCATGTACTCATTTTGGCAGCACATACTAAAATTGGAACTATACAGAGAAGATCAGAATGGCCCATGCACAAGGATGACATGCAAGTTCATGAAGCATGCCATATTTTTCCAAAACCAAATTTCAACAGTACCTATCCACAAATCCAGATACACTAGAAGGAAAACCCCAACTTAAGTAGACCAATTACACATAGGAAAAAAACAAGTAATAAATAACCTCACATCAGAAAAACAAAACAAAAAAGTGTGGGGAGTCACACACATACACTCTACCACCATCAACATCACAATAATAGGAAGTAACAACAATTGGGCATTAATATCTCTTAACATCAATGACATTAACTCCCCAATAAAAAGACACAGGTTAACAGAATGGGCACAAAACCATTCTGCTGCATCTTAATTCTGACCGTCTACACCCCAAATTCAAGGGCACCCTCTTTGTAAAAGAAACATTACTAAAGCTTAAATCACACATCGAACCCCACACATTAATAGTGGGAGACTTCAACATCCCACTCTCTCCAATGGACAGATCAAGACAGAGACTAAATGGAAAAATAAACTAACAGACATGGTGAATCAAATGGACCTAATAGATATCTGTAGAACATTTCATTGAAGCACAAGAGAATATACTTTCTTTTCAGCAGTTCACAGAACATTCTCCAAAACTGGCCATTTATTCGGTCACAAATCAAGCCTCAATAGATATAAGAAGATTGAAATAACCTCCTGCATCTTATCAAACCACCATGAATTAAAGCTGGAATTCAACATCAACAGAAAAAACAAAAAGCCTACAAATCATGGAAACTGAACTCTTTACTCAATGGCCACTGCATAAAAGAAGAAATAAAGAAAGAAATTAAAAATGTTCTAGTATTCAATAGAAAGGAAGGCACAACATACCCAAACTTATGAGACACAATAAAAGCACTGCTAAGAGGAAATTTCATAGCACAAAGTACCTACTTAAAGAAATTGGAGAGATCCCACACTAGTAACTTAGCAGCACACCGGAGCTCTAGAACAGAATACAGCAAGCACACCAAAGAGGAAGAGAGGACAGGAAATAACCAAATTTAAGGCTGAAATTAAGAAATTGAAAACAAAGAGAACAATACAAAAAAATTAATGAAACTGAGAGTGGGTTCTTTGAGAAAGTCATCACAAGACATGGCTGAACTCTCTATATACCGCTTCAATATATTACTTGATGTTCTAAGTAGAGCAATAAGGCAACTGAAGGAGATCAAGTGAATACAAATTGGGAATGAAGAAGTTAAACTATTGCTATTTGTAGATGATATGACAGTATACATAAGTGACTCTAAAAGTTCCACCAGAAAACTCCTACAGCTGAAAACACCTTCTGCAAAGTGGCTGGATACAAGATTAATTTAAAAAAAAATCTGTAGCTCTCCTATATAAAAAGGACAAATGGGCTGAGAAAGAAATTAGGGAAACTACACTCTTCATATTAGCCACAAATAATACAAAGTATCTTGGTGGTACCCTAACCAAGCAAGTGAAAGACTTGTATGACAAAAACCTTAAGTCTCTGAAGAAAGAAATTGAAGAAAATATCAGTAGATGGAAAGATGTCCCATACTCATGAATCAGTAGGATTAACATAATAAAAATGGATACCTTACCAAGAGCAACCTACAGTTTCAATACAATTTTTATCAAAATATCTTTACAGACATTGAAAGAACAATTCTAAACTTCATATGGGGAAAAATATACAGAATTGCAAAAACATTCTATACGATAAAAGAACTTCTGAAACTTATCTCCATCCATGACCTCAAACCATGCCACAGAGCAATAGTAATAAAAACTGCACGGCATTGGCATAGAAATAAACTGGTTGATCAATGGAATCAAAACCAAGACCCAGAAATAAACCAACATACCTATTACTGCTTGGTTTTTGACAAAGGAACAAAAACCATATAATGAAAGAAGACAGCAATTCAGCAAATGGTGGTGATCTAACTGGATGTCTATATGTAGAAAAATGCAAATAGATCCATACTTATCACCCTGACAAAAGTAAAGTCCAAGAAGATCAAAGACCTCAACATAAAACCAGACACACTAAACCTGTTAGAAGAAAATGTGGGGAAGAGTCTTAAAGTCATTGGCACAGGAGACAACTTCCTGAACAGAACACCAACAGCACAGGTTCTAATATCAACAATCAATAAATGGGACCTCATGAACCTGAAAAGTTTCTGTAAAGCCAAGGACACTGTCATCAGAACAAAATGACAGCCTACAGACTGGGAAAGCATCTTCACCATTCCCTTCATCTCCCTGAACAAAATTCAAATCCAAGTGGATCAAATACCTAAATATAACACCAGATACGCTACTTTTATTAGAAGAGAAAATGGGGAAGATCTTCAAACTCATTGGTACAAAAGACAAATTCCTGAACAGAGGGTCAAAAGCTTAGGCTCTAAGATCAGGAATTAATAAATGGGATCTCTTGAAACTGAAAAGCTCTGTAAAGCAAAGGATACTGTAGATAGAACAAAATGACAGTCTACAGATTGGGAAAAGATCTTCACCAATCTTCCATCTGTCAAAGGGCTAATAAAAAAAATCTATAATGAACTCAAGAAATTAAACACCAATGAAAAAAATAACCAATTAAAAATGGGGCACAGAAATATACAGAAAATTTTCAACAGCGGAATCTTAAATGGCCAAGGAACACTTAAAGAAATATTCTGCACAGGTGTAGCCCATGTCAGTTCAGTGTCCAAGTGGGTTACATAGTAATGGGAAGAGGGACTGCCTCTGACATAATCTGATTGGCCTGCTCGTTGATCACTTACTTCCCCCTGAGAGGGGAGCAGCCTTACCATGCCACAGTAGAGGACAATGCAGCCACTTTTGATGAGAACTGATAGACTAAAATCAGAAAGAAGAGGAGAACCTCCCCTATCAGTGGACTTGGGGAGTGGCATGCATGCAGAAAGGGGAGGGAGGGTGGGATCGGCAGGGGAGGAGGGAGGGGCTTATGGGGGGATACAAAATGAATAAAGTGTAATTAATAAAAAAATAAAAATAAAAAAAATAAAAAAATAAAATTCCTAAAAAAAAAAAAAAGAAATATTCAACCTCATTAGTTATCAGGGAAATGCAAATGTAAACAACTCTTGAGATTCCATCTCACACCAATCAGAATGGCTAAGATCAAAAATCTCAAGTGACAGTACATGCTGGCGAAGGTGTGGAGAATGGGGAACACTCCTCCATTGCTGGTGGGATTGTAAATTTGTATAAGCACTTTGGAAATCAATCCAGAGTTTTCTTAGCAAATTGGGAATAACTTTGTGTCAAGACTCAGTTGTATTTTTCCTGAGTATATACCCAAAAGAAACTCCGCCATACAACAAGGAAACTTGCTCAATTATGTTCATAGAAGCTTTATTGACAATAGCCAGAATCTGGAAACAACCTAGATGTCCCTCAACCAAAGAATGGATAAGAAACTGTGCAACATTTAGACAACTATTGAGCTACACCACTGAGCTATTAAAAACAAAGAAATCATGAAATTTTCAGGCAACTAGAAAAGATCATCCTAAGTGAGATAACCCAGACCAAGAAAGAAACACATGGCATGTACTAACTTTTAAGTGGATTTTAGCCGTATAATACAAAATAAGCATACTGCGAAGCACAGACCCAAAGAAGATAAGTAACAAGTAGTACCCAAGGAAGGATGCATAAATTTCACTAGGAACAGGAGATAGAACAGACAGAGGGAATGGCTGAAAAGTGGGAAAAAGGTAGGAGAGGGAGAACAGATAGTTAAGAGGGTGGAGAACAGACTTGAGAAGAGCAAGGGTGAGGACAGAAGGCCTGTAGAGAAAAGAGAAAATGATGGTGAGGATATCTCTGTGACGGGCTGGAGATCTAAGCTAGTGTAGGCTCCTGGGAGGATATGACGGGGATTCAAGCAGAGACGCCTAGTAGCAGAGACCATAGAGTCTGAAGAGGACATCCTCTAACTAGAGTAATCTTCCAGTAAAGGGTAGGAAACACTAACTTACCCACAAAAACTTTGACCCCAAATTTACCCTGCCTACAAGATGTGCAGGAATAAAGACAGAGCAGATAGAGCAGAGATTGCAGTAATGCCCAACCAATGCCTGGCCCAACCAAAGACCCACGTTTTGGGAGAGGGCCAACCCCTGACACTATGAATGATACTCTGTTAAGTTTGCAGACAGGAGCCTGTCAGATTATCCTCTGAGATGCTGTAACTATCAGCTCCTCAAAAGACAAGCTGAGACTCACAGCAAACATTGCCCTATGTGTAGGGAGTCTTGAGGAATAGTGGAAGGAAAGAGAAAAGGAGCTGGAAGTGACAGGAGCTCCACAAGAAAAACCACAGAGCCAACTAACCAGGGCCCAGAGGGGTATTCTGAAACTGAAGGACCATGTATGAAAAGGACCTAGGCCCCCTTCAAAGAGGTAGCAGATGGGTAGCCTAAGCTTCAACTGGGTACTCTACTAAGTGGGGACTGCATCTTACATGGTCTCACTTGCTAGTTTTTAGAGCACTTTCGCCTGGCAGGACTACTTTGAAAGTCTACAGGGGAAGAGGACAATTTCAGCCCTGATGCAACTGGATAGGCTGGGGTAGATGGAAAAATGAGCTCTCTTTTTCTGAGGAAAAGGGGAGGAGGAGAGGAGAGGGAGACATAATGGGACTGGGAGGGGAGGAGGGAAGAGGATAAAAGGATATAAAGTGAATAAAATAAATAAATGAGAAATCATGGGTTGGGGCATCTCTGTGAGAAGCTGCAGATCTAAATCAGAGTAAGCCTCTAGGAGGATATGAGGAGGACTCCAGTTAAGACTCCTAGTAGCAAGTGCTATGGAGACTGAAGAGGACACTCTTTATCTAGACAAGACTCCTCATGGACAGAGGAGATCACCAACCCACCCACAAAAACCTCAATACAGGACTTACCTTACCTACTAGACCTGACAAAGATGGTACAGGTAGAGCAGAGATTGAGGGATTGTCTAACCAATGCCTGGCCAAACCCTAAAACCCACCCCATGGAAAAAAG